AAAAATAACTTTCAAAAATAAAAGGACAATTAATAATTGTAAGTAAATATACATTTTATAATTGAAATCGTAACACTTACCAGCTGCTTGCAAATCTTGATGCAATTGAAAAGACCATCAAGTATCAATAATTTTCCAATATTCGATGTAGTAGTGACAATCTCTTTTAACTACCAACTTTGCTCTATCACCACTTGAACAACATATTGCTCTCCAATTTCATCAATAACTTTATCTAACAACCCAAAATAATATTCAGCAGTCCTACTAATAATATTAGAGCCATCAATTTATTTGTGAAATATAGTACCTCTATTGCAGTACACTAAGAAGTTGATGATGCATTGCCGAGTTAGACTACTACAACCATCACACATGATGGATACACCTCTCTGCCCAAATTCCATTGAATGATCCTATTCATTTTGTCAATTCATCATGCTCCATGTTCAAATATACTTCAGAAACTTCATAACCACTAGGACCCTTTATTCCTGGCCCTACTTCAGCAGCAACATCAAGCATGGATTGTGTATACTCTGAATCAACTGCATTGAATGGAATACGATTATAGAGTATAAACTTGGACACTGCCCGTCCCAATCTCTCCCTTAACTTCTGTAAATTCAATGTAGAGATTTTTCGTTGCTTTTTACTCTTGCTCTTTTGGAGTTCTACATCAATTCCTCTCAACCTTGCTTCAGGAGCATTGTGCTTAATCCAATTGTGTGCACTTCGACTAGTTTCACGCACAGATTGTGATCGACGAAAAACATTAGCAATACCTGGCGTTTTTGGTATTCTTTGAGCACTATCCCTTGTACCACAACTACCACCTGCATCATATTGTGATCCATGACTAGTAGTACCTAGTCTAAATTGTTGTCTTTCCTTCCATTGTTGTTGTGAACGACTACTTGCTTGTCTAACCCTAGTCATCTCTGGATCAGAGTCAAAGTCATCATCTCAAAGATCTACAAAATTTCCTCCTTCATCCTCATAATAGAGATCATCTCCCCTAATATGTGCTTCCAATTCAGCTTTTCTCTTTTGTTTGTCTGCTTTACTCATTTTCTTATCTTGTAAATGTTTCATCATTTCTTGCATCACGTCTCTACTAACACTAGGACAAGAATGCACTTGCCCCGTTTGATGTGCTAAATGTTGTTTAAAACGCGTAATCCCACCTTTAATAAGATATCCACAAAATTTGCAAATAATATGATGTCTAGTGCCTTCAACTGGAGTTCCAAATTTTCAACCAATATCATCACTTGGGGGATCATTAGCACCCTTTTGTCGTCACATTTTTGAATTTGAATTCTGCATCATTGATATATTTTTTAATTTATTTTAAATGTTTACAAAATTATTTTTCCACAAAATTTGAACTAACTAAATAAACAATATTTACATTTATTAAATGAAATGATTGTAAAAAAAAATGTAACCACTATTTATACATTTGAATTTTACATGTTAATGTAATCATATAAAAATTAAAAATAAATTATAATTAAAAAGTTGTCATAAAAAAATTCTTGTCACAATACATTACAATAAAAAATAAAAAAATATTTATAATTAAATATTAATGAAATGATTATAAAAAAAATTCAACCACTATTTCTACATTTGGATTTTACATGCTAATGTAATTAGGAACAAAGACATTTTTCATGGCATTGTTTGAGATATTTTTTTTTTTAATTTTATAGAAAAGACTTTTTTTTTTAAAAAAAAAAATTTGTGCCATCAAAATTGTTGTCACAACACACTACAATAACAAAATAAAAAAACATTTAAAATTAAATACTAAATAAAATAGTTAACAAAAAATGCAACCACTACTTATACATTTCGATTTTACATGCTAATGTAATCATATAAAAATTAAAAAATAAATTATAAAGAATTTTTTTTAGGTGTTGATTTTTTTTTTAAAAAAAAGATATTTTTTAAAAAATATTGCCATAAAAATTGTTGTCACAACACATTATAATAACAAAATAAAAATATTTATAATTAAATATTAAATGAAATAATTTAAAAAAAAATTCAACCACTATTTATACATTTGGATTTTACATACTATTGTAAACAGGATTAAAGACATTTTTCATGGCATTGTTTGACCTAATGTTTTTTTATAAAAATATTTCTTTATTTTACAGAAAAGACATTTATTTTAAATAAAATTGTGTCATCAAAATTGTTGTGACAACACATTACAAAAAACATATTTAAAATTAAATACTAAATAAAACCGTTATAAAAAAGGGTAAAACACCAATAAGTCCTAAATGTTAATGTGTTGAACCATTTGGTCCTACCTTTTATTTAGTAGACTAATAAGTCATGTTTGAATGTTAATTACGTATCTACCCATTTAATTAACACATGACCTTTTGTTGGTAGAGGGTAAATGTGAGATTTTAGTGATGTTGTAGTGACCAAAATACCCAAAAAATTATTATAGCCCTTTAATGTGTTTCCGTTAGTAGCAACCATTAGTAGCAAACATCAGTAACATTACGGTGTGAGTTTAGATGGGTATATATGCAAACATCAGTAGCAAATATTAGTAACGTCGTTCACCAAACACAAACACAGAACATCAGTAACGTCAGTGAACAAACATCTGCTTCGTTACCCCTATTAACATCGCTGTCGTACACAAACACTGCAAGTTACGCCAACGATTCAATCATCCCCGGAGTTGCTGACGTTGATGATGTTGCTAACGTTAATCATGTTGATGATGTCGCTGAAGTTGCTGATGTTGATGATGTTAATGATGTTATTGATGCCGCTGATGAAGGCCAAATGTTGTCGTTGCGATGTTCATTCCGGAAATACCAGTCGTGTACATTGTCGTGTACATTGTGATGTATGCATACATTGTGATGTATGTATGTATTCGGAAATACCAGTCGTCGCCAATGTTGATGTTCATTCCGATTACACTGCAATGTTGATGTTCATTGCAAACGTTGATGTTCATTCTGAACAAATATCATCAGAACAAACATCAAACATCTCCTTTTCCCAAAGCTCTAACCCGAACATCATCAAGAAACATCAAACATCATATACAATATATCAAGGACAAACATAGAAAAAGTCATCAAAATGAAACATTCAGAACATCTCCTTTTCCATTTATCAAATAAAGAACAAACATCTCCTTTTCCAAACATCAAACATCATCAGAACAAACATTCAGAACAAACGAAACCTCCATCTCTGATGATCTAAATCAAGGATGTCCCAAGCTCACCGATCTCTCTCTACTTTCTCTCTGTCTAGATCCTTCGCCGATCCACACCGATGTAATACCACTGCCGTGAGATCGTGAAAGCCGTCGCTTCGCCACCGCTCGTCTACAACGTTTGTTCGATCCGACATTATCGGTGGCGACGATCAAGATCTGATACAATGTTTGTGAACATCATCAGAACAAATATGGGCAAAAATAGGCTCGTTTTGTTAGTCCTTGAGACATTTTGGGTTGTGTTTGGATGTTGAGATTTCCATGGAAATGGATCTAGGGACGTTTGATGTTGTGAAAATGAAGGAGTTGATGGGGTTGGGTGTGAATAGAGTGTCTTTGGGAGTTCAGGTATTTCCAAAATGGACTCAGGTTATATAAATGGTGTTTGTATAGAGAGAGAAAGAAACAACCATTACAAATATGGGCAAAAATGTAAATTTCATACATAATATATCAAAAATATATATCATCCCAAAAATAAAAAAGAACTAAATGATTTAAGAAAAAACACTCAGGACTAACTAGAGTAACATTTACCAAAATGAGATTTATGAGTAATTTTTCCATAAAAAAATGCAACCACTATTTATACATTTTGATTTTACATGCTAATGTAATCATATAAAAATTAAAAAATAAATTATAAAGAATTTTTTTTGAGGTATTGATTTTTTTTTTAAAAAGATATTTTTAAAATAAAATTGTGCCTTTAACATTGTTGTCACAACACATTACAATAACAAAATAAAAAATATTTATAATTAAATATTAAATGAAATAATTATAAAAAAAAATTCAACCACTATTTATATATTTAGATTTTACATGCTAAAATAAAAATTAAAAAATAAATTATAAAGAAATTTTTTTTTGCGATATTGATTTTTTTTTTTTTTAATATTTTTTAAACATAAAATTGTGCCTTTAACATTGTTGTCACAACACATTAACTAACAAAATAAAAAATATTTATAATTAAATATTAAAGAAATTATTATTAAAAAAAAATGCAACCACTATTTATACATTTGGAGTTTACATGCTAAGGTAATCAGTTAAAAATGAAAAAATAAACTACGAAGAATTTTTTTTGAGGTATTGATTTTTTTTTTCTTTTAAAAAATTTTTTTTTTAAAAAAAAAAAATTGTGCCTTCAACATTGTTGTCACAACACATTACAATAACAAAATAAAAAATATTTATAATTAAATATTAAAAGAAATTATTATAAAAAAAATGCAACCACTATTTATAACATTTGGAGTTTACATGCTATGTAATCATTAAAAATTAAAAAATAAATTATAAAGAAAAAAATTCATACATGGTTGTTTTTTGGGCTTCAATCACTTGAGTATTTGTTATCTTTTTGAATAACCTGCAAGGAAAAAAAAATTCAATGAAAACTGATATATATAAAATGTATTAATATAATTATAGGTGTTATGATTTTTAGATATTATAAAAAAAAAACCAATTACTAATTATTATATATAAAATGCTAAAAGTAAGTGCATAGCTCTCTCTATCTCTATATATTTTTAAATTAAAATTGCTAAATATATCACCATGAATTTTTTAGGCTTTATATCAGCCAAGAATCATTGTTCAAAAATACAAAAAAAAAAAAATACAAAAAAAAAAATTCAAAATGCCAGTTGGAGATCACCCATGAAAACACAATCGATTATATATGTTCCCAACGGAGAGGCACCCAAGCCAACAAACAAAATAAAAAAAAAAAGAAAAGAAAAGAAAAAAGCAAGAGATAATGTTCTTCGTCTTCAACTTCAACACAGAGTCACTTACAGATTTTTTCTTCGTCTTCAAGACGAAGGCAGCCTTGAAGACTTCAACACAAGTTCATTTCTTCCCTCTTCTCTCTTCTCTCTTCTCTCTCTCTATCTCTCACTCATCCGTATTTCCTCTTCTCTCTGTCTTTATCTTTCCATGAACCACTCTTTGTTTTTTTTTTATCAGAAACTAGATGGTTAAAAATTTGTAAATCTGAAGATTTGAATCAATTGCAATTTTCAGATTTGAAGATCTGAAAATTTGTGGATGTATTCTTAAAAGAGGAAAATTTGTGGATGTATTCTCACCTCAAACTTTTTCGCGGGTTGAAAAGAGGAAAGACAAAATCTGTTCAATCATAATAAAGGTATGTACAACAGCATCCATAGTTTTTCAGCGTTTTCTTTTACTTTTTTTTTAAAAGAATCAGCTAATAAAAGAGCGTAACTGTGCGTAACTGGTGTTACGGCCGTTACGGCCGATACACCTGTAAATCTCAATCACACCGCAAAAGCGGGGATAACGCGTGGTGCTTACCTCCACAACCGTTATATAACGGCCGCAACTGTTATGTAACACCGCATTTTGAAACCTTGTGAAATTTTAAATTTGATACCGATTTGATGAAACTTTTGAAGATGGTCTTATACGGTAAGAAAACCAAATCAAACCCTTTCTTTTCTCTTTCTCTCTCTTTCTGACACTACCATCACCACCACCATTCCAATATCACTGTCCTTCCACCCGACACCACCATCCTACTGTCGCCTCCTCGTTGTCCTTCACTCCGCTCCCCTCTCCCTACTTTTTCCGTCTCTCTACTCCTCTTCTCTCTCTCTCTCTCTCCTTATCCACTCTCTCTCATCTTTTTCCCTCCTTTGTGTCCATTGTTGACAGCGATGATGATCGAGCCTACGTCAAGATCATGCTCGACGTTGAAATCTGGTCGAAAAGTCAAGATCAGGTCGAGATCGCGTGGTTGTTTGTGGCAAAAACTTGCTCGGCACTATAGGTATCGACGACAGTTTCTTCGGCGTCCTCTGACCTTCCAATGATGTCGACCGACTCGCAGAAGTGTGTTAACTCTAATCATCCATTGGTCGAAGTAAGGGCCACTCTCGCACTGACTTGCATTCTGCCGACTATGCGAGGTCACAAAAGAGGTTGTGGCAGTGTTGGACCACCTTTTACTCAGGCATTGCCGTTGGTAATACAACCTTCAGTGGTTTCACATTCTCCTTTCCCTTTTCAAGCATAGTGTGTGAACTTGAATGAGGGTGGTCTTTGAAACCCTAACCTAGATTTGTGTTTTGTGAACAGATCTGTGTTTGAACAAATTTGTTGTTGTTGTGTATCCATCTCTGTGTGTGTGTGTGTGTGTGTGTGTGTGTGTGTGTGTTTCTTTTTGGTGTTTTTGTTTGTTTAGTGTTAAAATAGATTTGAATCTTTGTTGTTTTTTGTTTCTTCTCTATTTGTTTAGTGTTTGTTACTTATTTGTGTGTGTATGAATGTATGTATCTTTGTATATCTGTTATTATATTTAAGATTGAATTATATATCTGTGTAAAGGAGATGAACAATTTCAACGGATCATAACATTTGATCTTTTTTTTTTTCTTAATATTGAACATGTAGTGCCTTGATTTATTTCAATAACAATGATTTGAACAAATAAAAAATCAACAAATAGAATTCAGGGAAAAAATTGAATAGATAATAAATTTTGGAAAAATAGCTTTACATAGATAAGTAAAAAAATTGAATAGACAATAAAATTTTGGACAGATATTTGAACAGGGAAGGGAAAAAATTGAACAAATAGTCAATAAATTAAACAGATAAAAAAATATTTAAACAAATAGTCAAAAAAATTAAACAGATAGTTTAAAAATTCAATAGATAAATAAAAGGTAAAATTGAAAATAAAATGTCTTCCAAAACAACAAAAGGATTTCTCACCAAACTATTTTACAAGTGGGGGATCTCTCACCAACAAAATATATTTACTGAACCTAATATCTTAGACAATTGTTGGATTAGACTTTTCAACAATTTTCTTTTTTTAGTTATATGAAAAAATGTAAATAATTAATATATTTGACTTTCTTTATAAATATTTTTTATTTTTTTAATTAGTCAAAAAATTAAATTTCGATGGAAAGTTGCTAAATAAGTAATTTATTTGCTTTTTTTTTTATAAAAATATCCAAAAATCAAAAAAAAAAAAGTGCAAAAAGAGTTTGGGAAGTTGGCAAATGGGTAAAATGACTGAATTACCCTCAATCATGAGGGTTAAATGAAAAGTCCCCCCCCCCCATGCGGGTAAAATAGAAATTTTGCTATGCAAACATATGATGGGACATCATATTTTATCAATTTTTTTTAAAAACAGCTAAAAATTTACTAAATAAACACTTACTAAACACATTATAAAAATAGTAACAAAAGAAATTTTGCTATGCAAGCATCTGATGGAACATCATATTTTATCAATTTTAAAAAAGCAAAAAATTTACTTAATAAACGCTTACTAAGCACATTATAAAAAGGGTCTAGCTTTGATCCAGTCCGTCATCGAATTAGATCATATTGTTGGGTCTGTGGAGGTCCAACACGGGTCCCATTTTGAAAATCTGAACCGTTTAATGTGTAGAACTCGTCGAGTACTATATGTCTGTGAAAAATCACGTTGATCGGATATCGATAGCTATGTGATCAAATCAGTTTTGTATAAAAAATAATGGACGGTGACTAAATTAATGATTGATAAAAAAATGTTTTGATCACATAGCTATCGATATTCGATCAACGTGATTGTTCACAAACATATAGTATTTGACAAGTTCTACACATTCAACGGTTCAAATTTTCAAAACAAGACCCGTGGTGGACCTCCACGAACCCAACAGTGCGGTCCAATCCGATAGTGGACTAGACCAAAGCCAAGCCCTTATAAAAATAGTAACAAAATAAGCAAAAACAGTAAAAATAAATAAGCAAAAACAAAAAAAAAAACAAAAAACAAGCAAAATGGTGGCGGGTGGTAGTTAGTGTTGGGTGGTAAAAAAAAAAAAAAACTCAAAACTCAAAACGGAAACAAATTTTTTCTGTTTTCATTTTTTGGCAAAATTTATAAACTGAGATCACTGATTTATAAATCAAAAATTTTACCAAACTAATTTTTATTTGAATTTTTTAAATTTTTGTGAATATAAATAAAAAACTGAAAACGTAAGTATTACCAAACGGCACCTTACCAAACACATTATAAAAATAGTAACAAAAGAAATTTTGCTATGCAAGCATATGATGGAACATCATATTTTATCAATTTCAAAAAAGCAAAAAATTTACTTATTAAACGCTTACTAAGCACGTTATAAAAAGGGTCTCGCTTCGGTCCAGTCCGCCATCGGATTGGACCGTGCTGTTGGATTTGTGAGGGTTTACTACGGGTCCCATTTTAAAAATTTAAATCATTAATGTGTAGAACTCGTCGAGTATTATATGTCTGTAAAAAATCACGTTGATCGGATATTGATAACTATGTGATCAAATCAGTTTTGTATAAAAAAAATGGACGGTGAATAAATTAACGGTTGATAAAAAAATATTTTGATCACATAGCTATCGATATCCGATCAACGTGATTTTTCACAGACATATAGTACTCGACGAGTTCTACACATTGAACGGTTCAGATTTTCAAAACGAGACCCGTTGTGGACCTCCACAAACCTGACATCACGGTTTAGTCCGATGATGGACTGGACCAAAGCCGAGTCCTTATAAAAATAGTAACAAAATAAGCAAAAACAGTAAAAATAAATAAGCAAAAACAAAAAAAACAAAAAACAAGATAAATGTGAGATTTGTTCTGGTTGTCGGCCATTGCCGTGGTTGGACCATTGTACTGCCCGTTCGCTTGCCCGCAGGACGGACTCAAAATTTTCATACAGGGACTGGACATATATAAATTAATGTATGAATTAAGATAAATATATATATAAATAACATTTTTTTTATTTACATTTCATTATAAAAAATAGCAACTACAAAATAATTTATATATTAAAGTGAGACATTTTAAATTATTGTACTTAATATTAGATCATATTATTAAAAATATTTATGATAGAATCGATATTAAAATCCTATATAATATTTTTTTCAATGAACATGATTGAGTAATGCATAGGATAGGATATCATATTTTATCAATTTTAAAAAAAGCAAAAAATTTACTAAATAAACACTTACTAAACACATTATAAAATTAGTAACAAAAGAAATTTTGCTATGCAAACATATGATGGGACGTCATATTTTATCAATTTTATAAAAAGCAAAAAATTTACTTAATAAACACTTACTAAGCACATTATAAAAATAGTAACAAAATAAACAAAAACAGTAAAAACAAATAAGGCAAAAAAAAGAAAAAAAAAAAAAAAAAAAAAAACAAGGTAAATGTGAGATTTCTGGTTGTCGGCCAATATCCTGGTTGGACCATTGTACTGCCCCGTTCGCTTGCCCACAGGACGGAGTCAAAATTTTCATATTGGGAATGGACATATATAAATTAATAATTTTTTTAATAAGAATGTTGAATTAAGATAAAAATATATATATATAAGTAACATTTTTTTTTTATTTGCATTTAGTTACAAAAAATAGCAATTATAAAAACAACTTATATATTAAAGTGAGGCATTTTGAATTATTGTTGAGAGGGTAATTTATATGAAAATTGAGTCAAGTTGGGCAATGGGTCGTTATGGGCCACAATACAAAGGGCTGAGGAAAGAGGCTTTGAAGTTAGTTCGATCCCAGAGCCTTGATGATTAGTCCGGTCCCAGAGAGCCTATTGTTATTATCGGTGCAGGAGAGTATTGCGGATTGTTCGGTCGCCAGAGTTAGCTTGGTCGTGACATGGTGCAGCAAGCTCGGTCAGACCTAGTGAATTGTTAAGCACGGTCTAAACTAACACTATGGTTAGCACGGTTTGTGCAGGTAGAACCGAGGTAAGAGTAGTGAAAGGAAGAATCGAACTAAGTGTAGTTCGGTCTCGTCTGCGGCTTAGCATAGCCATGTTTACCTCGGTCACAGAAGTCCGACCATGGTAAAACCATCTCACTTGATTTGTGCAGTGAGGGGGGTGTTAAAGGATAAGCATTATCTTTCAGGAGTATGAATCGCAAGAGGACTCTACATGGAAGAATAAAAGTCCTGCTAAGATTGTGCCACACAGAACCTACAAAAGCTCACAAACATCACCTATGGAGAGGTAACACAGAACTTTGATTTCTAAATACACAGAGCTTTTGTCTACTTATCTATTTTGCTGACTTAGGCATCAGAAAGGTTTCCGGCACACGCCCGCCGGCTAGCTCACGTTTGTGTTTTCAGGGAGTGAAGTGACGACGTACGGAGGAGCACAATCTTGATCAACAGGATTATACGGGAAGAATATTTCGTGCCCGTACAATTGGCGCCGTCTGTGGGAAACATCAGACTAGAACAAAACCTCTTGATCAAGTTTTTCCTCTTTATAACCAATGGCGCACCACGAAGATTTTTCGCAGTTCGCCATCGACGGACAAACACCAGAGGGGGGTGCAAGGCGCGAAGGCCTACGTTCTATCCCTCTTATGGCAGACTTGGAGCCACAGCGATAAAATCCCAAGAGGGATGCAAGGGGGAGGAGGCGAACTAATAGCCCCCGTCACTCTCGTTCACAAAGTCCTGACAGACAAAGGCGGAGGATTGATCCTCAAGTTCTGGAGGACCGCGTGAAGGAGCAAGATGAATTAATAAGGAAGATGGCGGCGGACATGGAGGCCATGAAGCACCAGATCAAGGGAAAAGGAGTGGCGATAGGAGAGAGGCGCAAAGGCAATGCACCTCCTCGCCACTCAAAAGATCGTAGTAGGCATACCACGACATCGCAAGCAAAGAGTAGAAGCCTTAGGACGAGTGACACTCAATCAAGGACTTCCAAAACTCGTTACTCCAGGTTGGAGAGAACGAGATCACTAAGGTCTTACACAGAGGGAAGTACCTATCGGCCCTCACATACGCACCATACATCATCCAGGCAAACGAAGTTGCCTAGATCGTCCGACTTACGGACTGTGCTTGAAGAAAGGGCGTGACAGAAGGAGGATGCTAGGGCACGCGACCCGCACAGAGTTTCAGCCCTTCAGCGGTTGGCTCCTCGGACGCATAAAAGCGTCGAAGTTGGAATGCCAGTACCACACCTTGCCTACGAACCAGCAGATAAAGCGTTGGCAAGACTACATAGCTCGCCGTTCGTTTCGACGATTGAGAACGCATCATTACCCTCAGGCTTCATCCAGCCTAAATTTACCACGTACGAAGGGAAGACAGACCCTTACATGCACCTAAGCCACTTCCG